CTCACTCTTTCCAGGAGTGCGCGCTAAACGTGTAACAAACGAGCGTCGGTGGTGCAACTGTTCAGCACACGCTTTTGGAAAGAGTGAGATTTAGACTCGAATCCCGGCTGGCGCAAATGCCATTTATGTGTGACAGTGATTTGTGGCCGAAAAAAGAAAACTCTGTCTCACACCCAAAGTGTTAGGGAGACTTGTTGAAAGTCGGAGCGTATTGCCGTTTCGTTTTGCCTGTTTCGCGAATGACAAGCAGTCCGCACCGTCAGCCTTGCAGATTCATCATTTCTACTGATTTTTTATCAACGCCAATTGGATCTAAATGTGCAGCACCGTGTTTGTAGTAGACCCCTGTTGTTTAACTTAATCGTTCAAAGAGAAAAATTTTACCACAGAACTCCTCTTGTGTTTCGAACAGCGCTAAACTTAGTCAACGAAATTCAATCACGTCCCATAATGTTTGATCGACTAATATGTGAAGAAAGATGTTTTGCACAATTATTTTTTGTGGACTGCTGTATAGTATGCCTCAGGTAGCTTCAATTTTGGCTGGGGTACAGTAATGAAAATGAAAAAGGCAACGCAGAGGACACTTCCTCTTCGTGCTGCGCTTCATCCTACTCGATTTGTTTTCGTGTGACCACTTTAAGAAGAAACATCGGAAGAGAAACAGCTCCTGTGATTACTCGAGTGAAATCGTGATTTGTGATGAAAGTGATATCACGGAATCATAAAAGCAAGAATAAAGATGTTTGAATAGCTCGTGTAAGCTCATGTTCAAACAAAATCATTAACTTTAATACCTTGGTTCAGTATAAATAGGATATGAACTTTGTTGGGCATTTGGGAAAAAAAACTAAAAGCAAAACATTGGCAAGCGTGCATTTGTAATTTAGCCGCTAAAACGGATAGAATGGTGTGGTAAATAAAACTGACTGCTCTTCAACACCTTAACATTTTCACATTTATAAATTGAAGAACCCATTTGCGAGCTGACAAAGTTACTATAGAAGGCAATGTACTTTATTCCAAAAACCTTTTACACAGCGTCTCACCCGTGAACGATCAGAAATGTCTTAAAAGAGTTCAAGTATGAGTGCGAGTGGCATTACATTATTCCAAAAGATAAGAATGATTCTTCTGAATATGAGTGTGTTAACGAGAATTCTTTGAACCGAATCGGAAAATCATGTGGCTTTCTGCTCGCAAAACGACTAGATTGAGACACAGTCAGCGCCCTTGCACCATCCGCACTCTTATGAGAATTCATAAATGCAAAGTGTAGTTGAATAAGTAGCTCGATGCATTTTTAATCAAATTGCTAAGCGGCACGCAGTTTCTTCGTGCACTGCCGCTCTGCTTTCAATAAGGGACTATGCTAATAAAGGAAAGTCAGTATGTAGAGGACTCTGCTGTCTATTCCGGTTACTCGGGGACAAATGAATATTCGACCTTAAAATCAAGGAGCTGATCAGTCACATATAAGTGGTGAGTGTCAAATTCGATGTTGCTTTGTGAATGATCTGATTGGAAGATGTGAATTTTGCTTTCAGCTAAATCTACAGCATTTGTATAGATTTTCAGGAGGCAAAGTGAATATTCTTTCAAACATCGCAAGACTTGTATACGGGCCCTTTTCGATATCACCGATAGCCACAATTTCGGCAGTGTTTGGATGTGGAGTAATACCTTGAGGTCAAGTAGTGAGCAAAAAATTGATGTGCTACTGCAGTGCTCTTAACCATATACCTCTATACGCCTCAATCGGAATGAGCTTATTCAATACTACTACAATATTACCACTATTTAAAAGTTCTGAATCATGAATGTTAAAGAAATCTTGGAGAATCTGCCAAAATATTTTGATTTCATGGAGTCTATTATTGTACTTATATACTGCTAGACGTACTTTCCGGCATCTTGGCCTTATCATTGGTACGGTATCTTTCGTTTAAGCCAATCCCTTGTAAGGAGGTTTATCTTTTACATATGAAGAAATCGACGACGAACATATTACACTGCACGTGCTCGGCGTGGAATATGTTATTAAACTATATTATTTTTTCGACGTCTCAAAAGTGTCGAATATAAAGGATTCTATTATCAAGTTTATTAGCCGTGAGCAATCAACTCGTATCATTGCAATGTCGGGGTGACCTTGTTACTTGGCACACGTGCAGTGTACTATGTTCGCCGTTGGTTCCTTCATATGTAGGGAGTATATCCCCATACAAAGCATTGACTCAAACGAAAGGCACAGTTTCACTGATGAGGTCGAGAAGTCAAAATGTACCTCTGGCAGTGTATGGATGCTATACCAGACCTTATGAAACAGGTAAAATTTTGTCAGATTATATTGTTTTCTAGGCGAGGTCTTAAAAAACAGTCGAATACAAAGGCTAATGATCATCTCGATAGTAACCTAGCATTCTATATGCACTAAAAAAAAGATGGAAATTTCGTTACAGCGAGCACTAGGACGTTCACCGTCACCGGCTTTGCAACATTGCTCGTAATTATGGTTTACGCTGAAAAGCCTGAAGTTTCTATTTAGGTCGCCGATGTAGCAGCAAACGAAGCGGGAGCTAAGGCATTTGTAAAACGTCTTGTAATGCAAATAGTGAGCTTGCAACTTTTAGATTTCAAATGATTTATCTAGATAGATGGAAGGGTGTGGGAAATGAAATCTAATCATCCAATTCGTGAGCCTCCTAATATTAGTATGCCTTCTTCGCATGATTCTATTGGAGAATTTCAAAACACACTCCACACAAGGGTAATGAATTTGTATCCAGGTTTTTGATGTCCTTGAACGCCAAGGCCCTAACGCACTCTTACCCGATGCTGTAATCTCGACCATTTTAAGTCAACTTCAAGTCAGAGTCACTTACGATTCGATTCATGCCAACAAGTTGTTGTGGATTTAGAAAAGGATAAGAGTGAATCTTCAACAATTATCCATTTATAAGATCAAAAGAGAAGTATGACAAGCACCAAAAACGCAGAACCGTGTTTGTGACTATACAAAAAAGCATATATTAGGTCTCCACCTATGTTCCCGCTTTGATCCAGGAAGCAGAAAATTTTCTCACAAAAGCAATTTTTTTACCTATTTTGTGCAGAATTTTTTTTTTTGCACATCATTTGGTTTACTTTTGGGTATATCTTCTTCGAGATCCAGCGTCGTCCAGGTCAGTGGTTGTTACTAGGTCAGCAAGGAACACCAACACCGGGACCAAATCGATCTGCCCCAGAAGCAATGTTCATCATTTCCTGAGTTCGAAGTGGGCCATTGGGACCTGTTGCAAGCCGGTCAGATCCTGCAAGGCTGAGCGATATTGTCAGCAACTGGACCGTTGCAATTAAACAAATCTATGCCTCCGCCGTCGCCAGTCATTTTGCTTAATACAACTGGGAGCACTTTGATCTTCCGCCGTATTGACCAGATTTGTCTTCGTCCCATTTCCACCTCTTCAGACCACTGGAGCACTGATTGGACAAGAAGAAATTTCGAGACATCAATCATTTGCGCCTGGAATTGACTGGTTGGTTTCATCAAAGAATAATGAGTTTTACGAGCGTGGAATTGATTTGTTGGCGGATCGTTGGCAGGATTGCAACCAGGCAGACGGAGAATACTTCATTTAGTGTTGTTTGACAATTTCGACTAACTGGAAAAAATTGAATTCTTGAGTTTTCGGATCAACTCCGGAAGCTTAGTTGGACACCTAATAATTCCCAAATTCGAATTTATGCTACATTTTTAGCGAGTATTCCCGTAAAATTCTTCATAATGATGTAATAATATGGTAAGTGATAATTTGAAGTATTTTGAAGGTTAAAAGAAAACCAATACTAATAGTCGTCTTTCACTTTTTTCATTTTTCTCATATTGCTAGAAAAAGTTGTATTTTTATTAATATGAAAGTCTTTCAGTCGACGAGAAGAGTACGCAGAACTGCATCATTGTTGGCAACAGTGTTACGGGAATTTGAACTAAATGAAAAAGGGATTGTTATGTGTCACAGACAAGGGTGTGGCTGCTGTTTCCGCTAATCACACATCAATCTCAGGAATCCTTTCGGTTTTTCTTTTTCGTACAACCTCTTTCGCAGCGAGAGAATTCTGTGTAGACATCAAACATCATTATGGCGAATTTGTCGAAAGCGATATGAGAAAATGTGGTGGACAGAGCTGTTCGAATGCTGGGATTAGGCCCGTTTGGATTGCATTTCTTCTCGGCATCAGCCACTGTTGATGGAAACTGAATTTGAACAGCGATCTTTTCCAGATGAATATATTTGTTCAACCAATACTTATTGTGGCATTACAGCAGTTCATTAACTGGCAGATCACATTGGTATTCATTGGTCAGAGTTATGCTTAGTCACTTTTTTCAAAAAAAGCTAAGAAATCTTGAAAGAATCAAAGAAGGAACTCTGCCGCATATAAGTTGTGATAACGACCTTTCATTCTCTCCCTATTAGCTCTACTTAGAATTGCAGATCAGATCTATACGACAATAAATCTTATCATATCTTTTCCAAGGATTGATCCTGTTTTACAAGGCTGTTAAAAATGATATTCGTTTGGAATTCCGATGTCCGTGCCAAAAGATCTGATTTTGGAAGCTCACGCTGAACGAAATTGGTATATCCAGATGTCTAGTTACGTCTATCCGGACGTGGATGTCAATATGATAAACGATTCATCTCAAGAGTTGAGCACAGGAGGCTGCTGGCAACTGAAAGAGTATTTGAGAGCGTCAAAGATGTAGTGAAGAAAGCAAAGAACACCACTCTACATTATTGGGTTTATTGTACCATCATTACCATCAAAGCGCCGCAATAGGCGGTCAAATAAAATGAATTTTGAGTGATTATTGAAATTCAATATCTTTCAGCATAAAAGGGTTCAATGTCGACAGCGACTGCCCACATCAGTCAAGGATGGTTGGCTGTTGACAGATAACGCGTTGTAGAGTAGAAGAGTGGTGTCAAAGACGGGCGGCAGTAGAGCAGCGGTTTAGCACGCTCCCCTGGAAAAGGTGAAATCTGGGTTCGAATCCCAGCTGATGCGCAAATGTTTTTGCACACCACTTTACATTATTGGGTTCAGTGTACAAAGAACACCCAAAGCCATTGACGTGTTTTTCGACTCAGCAATTATTCCTGCCTAATCACATGCTTTACAAACCTTCTCGCTGTGCAAGAAAGATGAAAGTTCACTTGGCGTAATTAACAACACAGTCGAAAGGATGATGCTAGGCAAATACATACCTTGCAAACAGGAGATAGGATCCAAAGTTCTGATCTGCATTAACAGTTGAAAGTGAAAAACACTGTTCTGCGTGCCGTGCTCTCAAATATCCCAGCTACGTAATACGTTTCAGCGACAACCGATTGATGTCAATCGATAGCACTTTTTGGCAGAGGATAGTTGTTCTTGAATATCGGTGGCTGACGTTTCGACGCGTTCTCCTTCCTCACAGTCTGAACATATTCATGTAACGCCATTTGTATAATTATGCGAAATATTTATAGTATACATGCAATTCTATGACATTCGTGAGCGTTACTTTATTCGAGAGAAACTGCTCACTGTGTCATCTAGTCTAGGGGTTCACATGTCCTTTTCACGAGTTGACGTTTGAATGTCCCCATGCCACTAGGTGAAATTGAATCAAAGTATTAACTGATGTCCAGGATAGAAAATCAGTCTGAGATAAGGTGCTCTTTGATTGCTTATGTTTAAGAACTCTACCTTTCTGTTTAATTGTGGAGAATCAACATTTATCCAGAAAGCTTCAAGGGCTCTTCGCGCCGATGTTTTGGCTCATGCCTTGGATTTTGATCACTATCTCTAAGTTCATCGCTATGCCTCTGAGTTCTGTGTGTACCTTGAGGTTTGTTTGAGTCTCTGTTTAACATTCTGTCTAGGTTACTTTTATGCGAACGTGAAGTGGTCTGCCTGTTTCGCCTGTTTGTTCGTCACCAGATGTTTTGCAAGAAATAAAGTATATTGCACCTGTGCTTGTGCACTCTCCGCCTCTACCGTAAGGACATAGCCACGCAGTTTTTTGTATTGCATATATGCTTTACAAGCGTCCTTAGTCAATGAAGGCGTAATGTTTTAGAAGAAGTTCTGCTATTCCTGCACAATTTTCTACACTCCTGCTTTGTAGGCATCTTCCAATGGCGGTGCTCATTTTTTATATAAAGGCTAGTTTTAGAAGTATTTTGCTATTAAGGTATGGCTCACTATTGCTTTTCTCACAAGGCTTTTCGCTCTTTTTTGACTTTACTTCAGCTGTTATTCTTTTTTTGATAAGCATAGAACTGATATTTGCCTCGTCAGGTGTTGTGACTCTCTTTCTCCTCATCTCCCGTGCGAACGATTGTAGCTGTTCAATACATATTTCGGACAAGCAATTTTTTAATAACGGAGGCATTAGAAAAAATAAGATGTTATATTACTTGCCTTTCAATAGCATTTCGTCATGCAACCACTTCCGCTAAAGTGTATTTGAACGTTCGAAAAGAGAAATCATTTCCCTGTAGGTCTTTTTTGAGTGAACTTGTAGAACTTGAAAACTCTGACTGTCATTCTGGAAGCTTGAAGCATTTTTCTGTCTCCTTTTGTGTAGAGCAAAAAAAGCAGTAGTCTATCTAACTCCCAGGACTCATTTTCAATTAACCCGGGCCTTGAACAAGCAATGCCGTAGTTTTCTTACCCAACAAACACGAAGCTGTTAAAACACGTTTTTATGCACACTATAGTACACAGAGGTCGTTTCAACTGTTGGGCGCTTCTTCCTTCTTCAGAGCCTGTAAGAGCCAAACTGACGTGCATTCCACATGGTCAAACACTTTCATAACCAAGAAGATGAAACTTGAACGAGAATGTGAAAGTTAAATCGTATAGTCTTCATCTTCTCTTAGATACTCACCGTATTTTGCTGTTTTATGTCCCACTAGTCAATATGCAGACTAGCCGCACCGAGTATTACATGGAAGAGGAATGTGTTCGTCTCGAAACCACAAAAATCAGTCCAAGATATAGCCCAAAATCACGCATCATGACAAGGCATTTATCTTCTCGATTCATATTTCGATTTTTCCTATAAATCCAGGACGCTTCGAAAAACCTGCGCGCTGGGGTTTTCGTTCCTGCAGGAATGTTTCTACCGCAAAGTTCGTCCCTTTATGTCTCGCGCCCTTTGCTGCCTAGTAGTGTTTTTGAAATAATTTTACCTAATGTCTAAGTATTCCTTGATACGGTCACAGAGAGGCCTTCCTGTTTCGCTGGCGTAGTCGCCGCCGCACGTTTTACAAGAAATTAGGTAGACTGTATCAGTGCTCATGCAATACCTCTCCCTACCGTTGACGCATATCATGCATCCATTCCTTTCAGACAGACGGTCACATAGGCTATTGCGAACTAGATAGCTTTTCATACTATGTAATAGTATTCCAATAGTCGCGAGAGCACGTGGAGCGTTCCCAGGTGGTGGATAGGGGGATAAATGAGAACAAAAGCGACCGTGTGCTTCCCAGAGACCAGGTAGATTCAGGGGTGAGCTTCCTGCTTTTGCAGCGCCGACATAACAAAAACTCTATTTCCACGAATCAAGTTGGCCAAAAGCCTGCAATCAAGAGGCTGGGAAGTACATGGGAAGCGGTTAGGAGTCACCTCCAACAAAGAAGCTCCTCCCGCTCCTTCAAAAGAGACTGGCAAGCTACTCGTGAGTACACAGTTCTCACGTTTAGAGCCTGGCAAGCTATACGTTGTGTATCAAAATGCCAAAAACAGTAAAAAGTATGGGCCTATTACCCTGACCCGAAAGGGCTGGTAAGGCAGCGCCAGGTAGGACGAGTACGGAGAGGCTGCTAAAATCTCAGGACCAAACTAGGCTGCCAAGTTTGAAACGGGCTAAAATGACGATAGGTACATACAATGCAAGAACCCTTGCTAATGAATCCGCTGTAGAAGATCTATTGATTCAACAAGAAGAATAAGGTACGGCGTCATTGACCTGGTTGCGACGAGAAGGCGCTATCCTTTTAATGCTGTTCCTGACAACGGGGAAGAACTGTTCCTTCGAACATGCGATAGCAGAGGTGTCGGGGGCGTTAGCGTTTTCGTCAAATCGAATTTGACCGTGAACATCGATTCGTTTGAACAACTGAAAACCCGTGTCGGAAGATAACGGTTGAAACGTTGTGGTTCTATGCCAGCTTTGATCATCTTCGTTACTTACGCACCAACATCAAGCTATGACGAAGAAAAAGTTAAAGCGTTCAATATGGATCTCGAAAAATTCTTCCGAAAAGATCATACATTCTTCAAGGTCATTGCCGCAGATGTTAATGCAAAAATTGGATCTGGGAGAAGTTCTGGAGAACGTCACATCGAGACTCACGGACTAGAAAGGAATGAGCGGGATGAGAGGCTATCTGAGTTTATTATGACGATTCAAACCATCCATGGTAACTCACATTTTCAAAAGCCTCATTCTTAGGGATGGACGTGGAAGTCTCAGAATGGAGAGTACCCTAACGAAGTAGACCACATCCAAGTAAATCGGAGGTTTTGCCTGACCGATGTCGTTGTTGTTCCTAGTTCTACACGGAATCAGACCCCGCCTCCTTGGCGCAACGTTCCGTTTTCGTGGAGAGGAGAGAAAGCCGCTGAATTCAAACAACGTACTCCGAGAAATACCATAAACTGAGATATATTCAAATCATTAGTCGGCTCGTGGGAAGATACCGTTGTCGACAACATCGACGAAGAATGCGATCGGCTCTTCAAATATCTTCACGTTAGCGCTATGAAGGCCGAGAGTCCTAAGATCACGAAGAGACGCTTGTCTCCGCAGACACTCGAGCTGATACATCAACGTGGAATCACACGAGCTACAGGCAACCAAAACCTCACGTGCAAACTTGCGAAACGCTGCAAAGAAGCGATTAAAGAAGACCTCAAAGATAGACGAGCAGCAGTTATGATAGAAGCTGTGAATTCTTGGAAGTGCATTCGCAAAGCCCAGCGAGGCTTCGCCAACTATAAGACCAAGATGATTGCACTCCGATACCCTGACGAGACACTTACAGCTTCGAGAAGGGCTATGGAGAAAATCATCCATCAATACTACTCGGATCTCTTTGCTAGCCATGTCCTTTTACCGTCATAGAAATTGAAAGAGGACCAATATGTCGTTCCACCGGTCCTCCTTTCCGAAATCTGACATGCTATATCGTTTAAAGAACAGAATAACACCAGGTCCAGACAGTATTAGACCAGAACACCTGAAAAACCTGCTGCCAGTTTTCAACAACACCTTCGCTCAGTTTTTCAATCGCTATTTGTCAGAATGCAAGGCCCCATTTAATGGAAAACCAGCAAGACCGTATTGTTGTTTAAAAGGGAAACCGTTAAGACATGGCGAATTATCGCCTAAAACAGGATTGATAGAACACTGAACGAAGGACAGCCATGCGAACAAGCAGGGTTCCGAAAAGGATATAGTACCATATACCACATCCACACGATAGAAGAGTTATTGAAGTTTCGCGACAGTACAAACAATCACTCTGTCCCACTTTCATCGATCTGAATGTATCCTTTGATTCAGTGGAAGCAGAAGCGGTTATAGAGGCTTTGGATAACCAGGGAGTCCCTGCTCGGTGCTTAATGATCCTTCGTGAGCTTTGCAAAGATTCTGCGACCCAAAATATCTCTATTCTACAACAACATCACCATTGATGCAAGAAGAGGTGTTCGACAAGGCGATACAATTTCGCCAAAACTACTCACTACCACCCCACACAACGTCGCGCGAACATTAGAATAGGACGATATGGGAGTGAAAATTGACGGTCAACAAATAAACCATCTTCGCTTTGCTGACGATATCGTTCTCATAACACCAAACACCAGCCAAGTGAACGAATGTTGACCGATTTTCATAACGCCTGTGGAGAGATTGGTCTTCAACTAAATTTAACGAAAGCAATGTTCATGAGGAACGAGTGGGTTTCGAATGCCCCATTCACGTTCAATGGAACGACAATCTCCGA